CGTCTGGCAACAAAAGCAAATGCACAACATCACGTCTGGCAACAAAAGCAAACGCACAACATCGCGTCTGGCTTACTTGGCCATCTTATCAGCCCTCGGTTGCTTTTTTGTTTGTTTGTTTTGGAGCCTGTCCTGGAACCAGCTCTTGTAGACCAGGCTGGCCTTGAACTCACAGAGATCCGCCTGCTGCTGCCTCCTGTGTTCTGCGATTAAAGGCGAGTGCCACCACCGTTTACCCCTTTTTTTTAATTTAAATTTTATTTTATGTGTGTGGGTGCTTTGCCTGCATATATGTCTGTGTACCACAAATAGGTGCAGTGTCCATGAAGGCCAGAACAGAGAGAGTCAGATTTCCTAGGACTGTGCTGGGAATGGACCCCAAATTCTCTAGAAGAGTAGCTAGTATTTTTTAAGTGCTGAGCCAACTCTCCAGTCCCGTGATGCTTCCTTTTAGCTGTATAAAATAATACAATGAGCCGGGCGGTGGTGGCACATGCCTTTAATCCCAGCACTTGGGAGGCAGAGGCAGGCAGATCTCTGTGAGTTCGAGGCCAGCCTGGTCTACAAGAGCTAGTTTCAGGACAGGCTCCAAAGCTACAGAGAAACCCTGTCTTGAAAAACCACCACCACCACCACCACCACCACCAACAACAACAACAACAACAACAACAACAACAACAATAATAATACAATGAATAGGTGGGTAGGATGAAGAGAGTTGAGCCAAGGTCACCCTGGCCAGCCTGGAACTCACTATGTCTACTAGGCTGGCCTCGAACTTCCAACAACCTTCTGCTCTCCTTCTGCCTTCTAAGTGCGGCTTAGAGGCCTGCACCACTAGGCTCAGCAGAAGCTACATTTTGAGACAGACTTTCCATTTTCCACCCGTATTGAATTAAAGTAATGTATCAGGTGCCCAGGGAGTTTCTACTGAATCTCAAGATGGAGGAGCCCAGGGAGTTATTGGCCAGAGTTCGAGTCCAGTGATCTCTGTGTCTCAGCGTCTCAGTCTCCCTATCTGAGGTCTTGGTTGGTGTTCACAGGGAGGGAGAGAAATCGGATGGGATGGGAGACTGTAGGAGAACATCCCTCCTCTCTGGTACCTCCCTGGGGCGGGGCCACCCACAGCCGGAGGCTCCGCCCTCCCGGCTGCCCCCCCCCCCGGTCTGTGAGCGTCGGCGCTAGGACCCCGCGAGCCGGAGCTGCGGCGGGGCCTGGGTAGCCGGAGCAGCGCGG